GGGATGCAAGTTTATTAGGGGATCAGTTTCAGAGTTTCGGATGATTTACAGTCACGGTTAGCTGACGTATTTACGTACCGTCAATCATCCATCCTCTACTCAGCTGGTCTAGCTACGATGCTCTCATCCTACATGAACGGCACGTTTCATAGTCTCCATCGTCCTACACTCGACAAACTTTGCTTATGCTAGTATTCGTTTGACTATATCAGTTTGCTGGGCTCTTGCCTTTTACTATGTACCGAGCGTCACTTCTTGGCAGTCCTGCTGCTCTCGCTTGCCCATCCGTGTCCATCCTACCATCTCTCACCGCCTAATCCCCTCCGACACACGTCCCCCCTATCCGCCTCTCATCACCCCCGTCTACCATTCCTTCTCACATAAACCGTCGTGTGATCCTGTCCCAGGCCTCGTCCGGCTGCACGCGAACCACCAGCAGAAGCGCATGGCGTGGGAGAAGCGCGACGTCGCGTCGGCGCCGACGCTCGTGGTCGAGCGCGACGGGCAGGACCCCGCGGCTCGACGAGGACGGCAGCCACGTCGTCAGCGAGGCCGGGCAGCCGCAGTACCACGTCCGGACCAGGACGTACCAGCACCTCGACCGGCGGGCGCAGCGGACGCGCCGCGAACAGCCGTGGGAGGCGGTGGGGTTCTACAAGCACTGCGTCGCCGACGGGGCGGCCGGGGGCGGGTGGCCGCACCTCAAGTACAGCAACGTCGCGCACTGCGTCGAGTGGTGATTGCCGGGGCGTGCGCCAGGCAGTGCGCCTAAAGAAGGCTCGGAAGAAAGGCTGGATCTGGCATGATACCTCAGTGCACATGATAGCCAGCGGCACGAGATGACATGATAAAATTCTATTTGTTTCGCACGGCACATGGACCGGATCTTGTTCAATCTGCAACGCTTGTGCGGCCCGGGCGATATGCGCCTCGTGGATGCCATGATACCATGAACGCCAGCCGATGATGTGATGTTTGTTCTTGTTGATGATGATGTTGGGTATACAATTTCTTCGCGTCTCTCGCACTCGGGGCCTGCTGCTCCTGCAAAGTTCTCGCTGCAACTCTCCTCCTCCTCCCGTTGGCGTCACGGCGCCTCATCCTCCCGCACCCGCAACGTCGCCATGGCCCGCCCCGACCGCGGCCCCCAGCGATATCGGCGCCTCGTCGACCTCGGCCAGCTGGAGGTCGTTGATGACCATGTACCGACTCAGCACGATCCAGGCGTAGCGGAACCAGACCATCTGGCTCCGGTGGGCCGTGGTCATGGCCTTCCAGGCCGTCGGCAGGCCGCCGTCGCCGGTGAGCTGGTTGAAGAAGAGCAGGGTCTTGGGGTGCGGCAGGTCTTGGTTCTGGTCCTCTTTCTGTTGCTCGCCCTCGGAGCGCCCGCCGGCGAGGTACCAGCCCAGCAGGGTCGGCAGGGCGTCGGCCACGGCGGCGTACTTGCGCAGCAGCGGGACGGAGGTCAGGGTGTAGAGGGCGACGGGGGCGGGGCGGCCGGGGCGGGCGCGCAGCAGCTGGGCGAGGAAGGCGCGGGCGCCGGCGTGCAGGGAAATGTGGTTCGGGTGGGACGAGACGCCGGCGGCGTCAAAGGTGACGAGGACGTCGATGCTGGCGGTGGCGGCCGCGGAAGCCGAGGCGGAGGTCGGGCTGGCGCTGCTCGCGGGGGCATGGGCCAGCTGCGGGGCGAAAGCGCTGCAGAGGAGGGAGGCGATCTTGTGGGCGTCCCAGGTCAGGGTCATGGAGTCCTGGAAGTCACTGGGGGTGTCAGCAGGCGTCGTCAGGCGCACGGGGCGGAAGCAGAGGGGAGTGTCAGAGGAACAGAGGCAGAAAGGAAAAGGAGAGATCCGAAGAACAGTGACAGAGGTGAGAGAAAAAGAACAGTGACAGAGGTGAGAGAAAAAGAGGTCCTACGGGCTCTCGACGACAAAGACGTCGTCCTCCTGGCGCAGGCCGAGGGCCATGCCGCTCTTGACGAGCTCCTTCTTGCGCGTCTCGCCGAGGCCGTCGGCGTCGCCCGAGCTCAGGCACAGAATCTTGACGTGGTTGCCCGTCTCGGGGCGCGTCAGGGCCAGGACGGTGGGCGCGAAGAACATGGCCTCGTCGTCGGGGTGGGCGATGAGCAGGCAGATGCGCTTGTTCGTGAGGCGCGGCAGGCCGGCCTGCAGGGTCGTCGCGGCGTACATGTAGAACAGGGGCAGGAGGGCGGCGAGGGCGGCCAGGGCGGCCGAGAGGACCCAGGGCCAGGCCATGGCGGAGCGCTGCGACCCTCCTGTGGGCGCCAAAGGCAGGACGGAGGCGGTCTGTGTGTGTGCCGATGTGGTCGAGGAGCTGCCAGTGTCGCAGTCGGACGGCAGGCGAGAGAGGAGTTGTGAGGAGTGTCGGCTTGGGGCGGGGTTGTTCCTCTCGAGATGCTCCTCTCTCGATGCTGTGATTTGTGCTGCAGATGGACAGAGCTGCGGGGCTCCAAAGGATCGATCAATGGCAAGGCTGCAGATGATCCGATTGGAAGGCGTGCGATGTGACGTATCGACAGAAGCAAAGCGCAACGAGCAAAGACTGGATGTCGCGATGAGGGTAGCAGACAGCAGAAGCAAAGGCGAAGGCAAAGAAGAGGGGCGCTTCGCAGGATGAGGGACGCGGTGCAAGTGCAGGTAAATGCCACCTTGCGATTAGGGACCCTTGCGTTGGTGCATCGCTGTTGCTGCATGTACCATGTACTGCATCGTACCGCATTTTACCGCATTGAGCAGAGGCGCTAGGGCGCTGTCCGGGGAAATTACAGCGACCGCGCTCTCTTGGCACCTGACCTACATGGTACGACTAGGTACCAGGGAACCTACGGTACCACCTACCCACCCAAGGTACAAACCACCCAGGTACCTCACCAAGTACCTCACCAAGTACCTTAGGTACTGTCGCCAAATTTGACAGCTTTCCTTCAGCCATCCCCGAATCATGCAACGACAGCTTCCACCCCGATCCTCCCACGCATCACACGACCACCAAATCCTCTCGTGACCTCCTCGACACCATGGGCAAAATGGCTCGGCAGCGCAGGGAAAAGGCCACTACCACCATCAAGCTGGCCCACCCCGACCGCTCCGATCCCACCGAAGAAACTCTGCTCCAGATGGCCCACGAACGCGGCCTCTTCCAGCAAGCCGACGCCGATCCAAGAAACAAAACGACATCCAAATCGACTCCTGCCGCCGAGTCGGACAGCGAAGACGATGCCGCAGACGCCGACGCAGACGCCGACGACACTGGCGAGCTGTCACCAACGGCCGAGCGCATCATGGACTCGCTCCTCTGGACCGTCAGCCTCGCCATGCTGCACTTTACCCTCGATGTCGTCGTCCAGCACCAGTACGGCATCGACATTGACTGGCACGCCATCATCCTTCGCGCGCTGCAAGCTTTTGCCGGTATGTACCTCCCCATCCACTGATGTGGCCAACTAGAGGACCGCTTGGGATATCCACGACCCATGTGGCCACACCCATGGGACCGCTTGGGACCGCTTGGGACCGCTTGGCATATCCTCCCACGACTGACCCTTCTGCCCCGACCAGCCCTGCTTGTGCTCTTCTACGTTCTCCACGCCCACCCCTCGAAGCCAGCCTTCGTCCCGCGCCTGCCTCTCCGATACCAGGATCCTCTCCGCCAGCTCATCTTTTTCACCACGAGCGTCACGGCCGGCTGCTACCTGATCTACATCACCAACACCTTTGGCTACCTTGCTGTCATGAAAAAGGCCCCCACGCTGGGCTGCCTCTGGGTCTGGGCCGTCATCGAGCTGCCCTTGGGCCCGGCCGCTGCGAGCCTTGTCATCTGCGCAGCATTCCTGTGGCAGGGCGGCTATGACATCAAATAAACCATGAAGGACTCAAGGCTCATCTTGATCGTGACCGCTCGAAGAGCGAGCTGACGGGCTCGAGGGCCGGCGTTGGATGGCTTCGGTCAGAGATTGCTTTTCTCGACCACTGACCCTGTCGCTGCATCATGCGGTAGACGAGATCTTCCAACCGGTGGATTTACGCCCGCTGCCGCACCAGCGCGAGCGCCTTGGTCCCTACCGGCAGCCACGCCATGGCCACCGTCGTCGTGAACGTCCAGCTCCGCGGCATGAGTGTCCACCCGCTGTCCTCGGCCTTGGCGCCCGCCAGCGCCCTCTCTTCCGTCTCTGCGACGAGCTCCAGGATGCGCTGCTCAGCTTGACGAGGTCATCTATGAACGAGTACATTTGGTACTCGGGACAGTCGCCGAGCGCGCTGTCGCCGCCGACCGCCCTGATGAGCTCCACGAGCCACCTCGACTCGGTCTTGTACCAGGAGAGCGACGTCTTGACGCGAAAGTACTCGTCGTCGCTGTGGCGGAGACGGCTGATGCGCGCGGACGGCTGCCAGAACGGCAAAGACGAGCGTCACGATGCCGGCAGCGTCAGCGGCGACAGGGGCTGTCATGGGGGACATGATAGATGAATATAGGCATTAACGTCAATTGACATGTCTCGTGCTTGGGTGACATGTCCCCGATCAATTGACAGTCTGGAATGCAGTTGGCTTGTCTGGCGGTCAATCGACGCCGTTACCTGTCAGCGATGAGCTAGGGGCCGAAGGCCCCGACCCCTGAAGCTAAGGTAATGTAGCTCGGCCGCCACTTTCGGGGTGAGGGGCGATCGCTCCAGCCACGCCGTCTGTCTCGGTCACGTGGAGACCAACGACATGCTTCGGCTCTGTTTGAGCTGCAGATTCGTCGGGTTGATCATTTTTTTTTTCTCTATCCTTTTGTTTTATGTTTTAGCGAACTTGTTTCGTTTCCAAAATTCTGTCATTAGGTCATGTCCGGCCAGTCAGGTTGTCGGGCTAAAACATTGCGTTTTCGAGAGGATTTGGAACGTTGGTAGAGTATGTTGGACCACGACAATATAGAGGCGGGTGAACAGTTTTCTCATTCAATGGATCGTCAAAATACCAGTTGAAGCTCTCTTCCCTCATTCCAAGGATATCTTTGATGTTGACACTGGGTCGCGGGTCTTGTGTATCTCCTCTTTCTGGGCCTCTTTCAGGGGCAGATCGGTGCCGCTTGTTGAAGGGACATAATCGCTTCCAACCCTGCTCTTCTGATGTCTGTGAATCTTGGAGATCGAATCAAGGTTGTGAGTGAACTGAGAATAGTCGCAACCCTGTCCCTCTTCAGTGTGAAAGCCCACAGGCTCTCATCACGTGGTAGGGTGGCATTACCCTCCAACACGAGAGAAAAAGAACTGCATCAGCTACGAAAATCTTTGGAGCATTAGAACAGTCGCCTGTTCTCGAATATCGTTCCATACATAAACAACTATATGATCCATTGCACGGCCTGTAACACAGAGATCCAGAAGCTCATACAGATGCGCGCCTCACCTCAAGAGAACACACCACAGTGTATGTGCCCTGCTTTCTATCCCCCTCGTGACGCTCTGCACTCATCCTCAGATGCTTGTGAGGCTGGGTATCTCTTTGAGTGGCGTCTGAGGCGCCTATCGCGCCGACCTTGGTCCTGAGGTCACGGGACAACCACCAACACCGCCCACAGTATCAGCTCAACAGAATGGCAACCAGGCAAGCACGATCATGACTGCAGTCGTGATCAACGTAGCAAGACGGCAGTTGCGAAGGGCGCTAGTACGTAAAGGGGGAGGAGAGCTTCGGTTATTGGTGTGTCTCCCCTTCGATTCATAGACTTGACTGCCAACTCTCGACTTCTGTCTCTCTGTCGTCCTCCATCCTCTTTCCCTTCTGTACTACTCCATCGGCACGCTCATCAGATCTTCATCCATCAGTTCCTAAGACCCCCCTACGCCAACAAGGATCATCACCATCGCGTGTATCACCCAGTATCAAAGCCATCCCATCAAAGACACCACTGAAGAACTTTCCTCCTTCTCTGACAAGTACGTCGTCGTCGACTTCCTACCCCGCGTTGCGTCGTGCTCACTGTTTGGTCCTAGGCAAGCAACATGTCTGGTGCTCCCTACACCATTCCGTACTCTGGATCCCGTGCAAAGGGCCCAGAGGACGGCTATGCTCCCGATTCTGCCGCCCCTGGCAGCACCAGCAGCGGTTACAAAGCTGCTGGTTCAGGTTACAAGCAGCCTGTCGTCGCCTCTGACGCTCCCGCTGCCAGCAACGCTCACTGCACTGGACAGCACAGCAAGGGAAACACCTATGGTACTCCTCACTCGTCTGCTCTCTGCCACCCCAAGTATGCCAATTCTGGCTCTTCCTACTGCATCTACGATGATAGTCCTGGCAAGGGCGAGACTGTTCACCACGTGACCCCCGTGTCGTCCCCCAAGGCAAGTACCCCGAACATCCAAACATGGCCAACAAGGTCGTCTGCTAACTCGCGTCTGTAGAAGAAGAGCACTGCCAAGAACGGCAATGGCCCCAAGACCTACGATGGCGTCTGTGACGAGGAAGACGTTGTCCCCGATCTTGCCCCTTTCAACAAAGAACTTGGCAGTCGCCTGCTGTACCCCTGCGGCAACTGCCACCTCTTTATCCTCTATCTCAAGAGAAAGCCTGACTTCTGCGACGTCTGCCGCATGATTCCCGACTGCAAGGACTGCGGTCGTGACTACCCCGAGATGGGCGGCCAGGGCGTGCGTCGCCCCTCGATCGGCTTCACGTTCCCCAATGGCAACGTCGCCACGTATGACGCCCCTAAGCCTGAGTTTCCCTTCGACCTCGTCAGCGACTACAACTTTGGCCAGAGCAAGTAGGTTCGCAACAAGGGTCGTGGCCGTGGCTGAGGCCGTGGCCGTGGCCGTGGCAGGTCGGCCCGTCGCGACAGGAACTAAATGCTGGAGGCTAGTATTCTTTTCAGATTGTCACCCCTCGAGTGGCCTTGCAATGGTGTTATACCCAGCAATTGACCTTTTGGAATGGGCTATGGATGGACGCAAACATGTTTATTGAGTTGCTGGCGCGGCAGCACGCGGTTGCCAGCTCGGTTCGCCAAGATTAGGTAGTTATTAGCAGCAGTCCGTATAATCAAACCATAGCCCAACGCGAGTTCACCGCAGTGATATAGTAGACTGTTGTTTCATGATTGAGGCCGTGTATTCGGACTTTGGGTGAATCAGAAGCCCTTTGGGGTGCTCGTATTCACACCAGCCCGGCAGCACTATCACGACCTCAACAAAGGTCTAGCACCTCTTTGTGTGCTTTAAAGGTACGGTCCTGTTAAAGGCCACTCCCAATAAAAGCTTGAGACATAGCAATCCAACCATGCAGAACACACCAGACGCCACCATGCCAGAAGAAAACAACCGAACCCTCTTCCTCGTCCGCAAGAAGCGCAACTCCAAGCACGACGTCCCCTGCAGTCTCGACTGTCTCCTCTACCCCCGCGGGAAGCCCAAGCGCGCACCAAAGACCCTCTTCGGGCGCCTCCTCGCGCTTCTCAGCGTCGACCTGCAGACGCGGCCGAGCAGCGGCGCCGGCGAGCGGTGGGTGCATAGGGGCGGGGCTGGATACCAGCCCGGGCGGCACTGGGGGTGTCCGCGGCCCAATATGTTTTTCGAGGACTTGGGAGAGGTGGCAGCGGTGCCGGTGCCGGCTGATGGGGTGGGATGCTGAGGTGTTTGGTTCCTCGGCTTGGGTAGGATGGGAGGGTGATTTGCAGGATACGTGGGCTTGTCGTTCGAATATGTTCTCAATTGGATTTGCTGATACGAGGCAGGAAATGGTGCATGAATATCGTGGTGCTTTTGAGGAGGTGCTCGAGATGTGCCCCGTGTGCTTGGACGTAGTGGTCTCGGATATGTTGCTGCTCCGAGTCAGGACAGACACGCCAATCCTGCGACGACCGACTCTCGGCTTACTCTACGATGATTACTACAAGTGCCTCGCAAGTTATTGCGTATGTCCTCTCCAAGAAGATCGCTCTGCCTACGCGAAAGCTATGCTGACGGCAGGATCGCTCTCAAACTCCACATGCTGGTCTTTTGGCTTCGACTCGTTCGCGACGTCCGCAGCGCCAACAGCGAACAGCTTGGTGATGAAGACTTTTTCGACCTCTTTTCAGAGGCCCTCGACCCTATTCCTCCATATCAACGCCACAAGCGAACGTTCACCGTCAGCGCCTATGAAGGCCTCGACGTGGGCTCCGACTTTTTTGGATTTCGGCAGTAGGCTAGGAAGTCGGAGGTCCAGGAGCCTGTAAGTACTGCCGTGCCTGTGGAAAAATGCGTCAAGGAACAAATGAAGCAGGTACAGAGACTGTTGAAGAGAAATCCCTGTTTCAACGCCTTGCCAGACACGTAGAGCTCTGCGATATCGTGGCAAAGTACGTTTGCCTGACGCCGAGCCACGTGGGATCAAGTTCGAAATCGTCGACGGGTGCAGATCTCCAGTATGCCATGCACAGGGCAGCGCTGTGACCTATTGGCCAACTCAACTCCTGACGGATCTGAAGAGATATGATTCTACCGAGCGGCGATGGTCTTGGCGGAAGGTCTTTGGTAAGATCACAATATAAACGTCGACTTATGCCCCGTCTATCGTCCATCTCGATCGAATATAGAAGAAACGGCTGACCAGTCCATCCCCGCCTAGCGAACCACGCAAGCTGCCGTGTGAGTATCTACTTGCATGTTCTCCGCACTTTTCATTCAACGATCCCTGCCGGGCACAACCTCTGGTCAACGGTGACCAAAGAACTGCCTGGGGAGGCAGGTCAATCTACCCAGGCCGGCTACACAGCTGTCAGGAGGCCGGTGTTGAGCCATGGAACAGGAGGCATTTCATGGCCTTGGGACCACGAGAACGTATGTAACGGTTACGGAGGGCCCTCCTTTTACCGGAGGGCCAGAATCTAGCTACATCCTGCCCCTATACCTACCATGTATTACCTGCGGCCTATTGCCTGCATTCTTTTCGCAATGCTGACACGCGCTGGTCCGCTGATATCTCGACTGAGGGACATCACCAGGATGGTGTGGATGTACATCATGGCTTCCAAGACGGCCAATTGCACGTCTCTCGAGTATTGCGAACTGCTTGAGCATGACCTTGAGGCTGGCCATTTCGCCTGCTGCAGGCAGCTTGGCGCGAACAAAGAAGTACAGGAGTATTGCAGTCTTGCGATGTCGGTGATGTAACAGTGATGGTTTGCCATGCATAGAGTGGAGGAACGGGGATTCCTTTCCGTTGAGTAAACCTCATGAGCGCGAAATCAAGGGATTCTCGACCTGGTTCGTAAATGACTTCGTCCCGCCGATGAGGCCGGCCCCTTCCAAGCCAGATCGGATGCCAAAGGGCTCCGTCCCTGCTCGCGGACCCGGCAGATGAAGTCGTTGCTCGGCCCGGGGACCTCAACGGCGCATTACTTGAAGGACAAATGCCGATCCGGTTCCTAGTGCGCTTGATCATCGAGCATTGACGAGCAGAAACCGGCCACGAAGCATCGCCCCTTTCAATGAGGGCAACACCGTTGGCACCGGCGCACAACGAGAAAATTGAGTGAGGACCCAACGGCTGGGAAGACGAGTCACTTGTTTGGCAGCATCTCGGAACTCTGGACGATGCCATGCCAACAGTATCGATTCTCAGTGCGAGTTGATGTCGCTGGCTGGGGCATTCCCGGCCATTGGTGGTGCGGTCGAGCCCTCCTTCCAGATGAGTCATCCAGACCAGGCAGCCATCTTCCCATCACGAAGTGCCTCACAGCATCTTGCTTACTGCACCATTCAGCACAACACCAGATCCAAACATGGCAGCACCATTGCCCGAAGAGCACGCGCCGCGCCCAGCGCCAGCCATGCGCATCGCGTACCCCGCCGGCCTGGACCCGTTCAACCGCTCCGTGTCCGCCTACCTCGCGGAGCACTACCCGCCCAACTCGCACGACGGCCTCGCCACGTGCGCCATGGTGTTCGACGCCGAGAACCGCATCCTGCTGCTCCGGCGCGCCGCGCACGACAGCATGCCCGGCCTCTGGGAGCCGCCGGGCGGCGCGGCCGACGAGCCGGACGGCAGCCTGCTCGTGAGCTGCGCGCGCGAGCTCTGGGAGGAGGCCGGTCTGCTGGCGACGGCCATGGTCCGCATCGCCAGCGAGGGCGACGGCATCGCGCCGGGCAACGTGTTTGGCAACCGCACGGGCGACCGGGTCTACAGGAAGTTTGCGTTCGAGGTCGCCGTGTCGGGGTCGCTCGACGTCCGTCTCGACGCTCACGAGCACGACGCCTATGTGTGGGCGACCGAGGAGGAGATCCGGTCGGGACGGGTCCCGGGCGTGGAGGGGGATCTGCAGCTCACGTTCGGCGCGACGCGCGAGCTCATCTACGATGGCTTTCGGCGGAGGCGAGAAGAGCCTGCGGAAACGCCGTCGCGGGTGGTGGAGAGGGATGGTGCCGTTCTGTGAGCATTTTTACGTCATGACTATGGGATTTGGTATTGGGTTGGGCATGGGCTCTTTGTCAATGGCGATGCGTTGTTCGGAAAGACATGATATCAGAATGGGCAGAGAAACCTGTCACTCTTCACCCCACACGGACTGATGAGAATTGTTCCACCAGACTTTGCCACATGGCCTTGCAGTAAGAGTCTGGGAGATGCCAGCAACATAGATCTGGTCAACCGTCAGCATCAAGGGCCGAACACGGCAAGGCCATCCCGCATTCAACGGCCAACTGTTGTATTCGCACATCCTACACAGCAGAAAGAGCTAACCAGGTGAAAACAGCAGCACAAGTTGTCACTCACTGAGGCCGTACTAGCGGTGCAGCAGCAGCCGGAGCTTCGGGCACATCGACACCAAAGTCTAGACG